GCGAGAATTCGTCAGTGGCGGATTCTTTTGTGTTTAAATGTTTGTGCGTTTTCCATTAACTAATCAGACAAGAGCAAGTACAAAATCATTATTGAATCACTATCATCAGTCACTTCATTCATTATAATGTATGCAAGTAAAGAAAAACAACTTTTTAAGCCAAACAATTCAGCCAATTCTAACTTCTCCAGGTCTCTTGATCCACACAATAATCCTAACTTCTTTCAATAGTAAACATCCAACCCTAAAGAACCCCCAAGGAGGCCTCGTGTTGTGAGCAATCGAGTGCAATTCGACGGTAAAGAATCCTTACTTGTATGCTTCCGGAAAAACATGTCCGCCGCCATTATTGTGTTGTCTACATTAAGCGTTTTTAAAGAGCATTTAACATTCGTAAGATCCTGTTTTTTAAATTGTGTTGGCGCCGGTATATCCCTTCCATTCTCTCGAGAATGTTCCCTGCGTTTTAACAGGACATTAGCGTTAATGCATTTGTACATTGAATGGCGGAAAACGTGAGAAACCGTTGGAAGTTATTGTTTGTGCTTTTGCATTACAAAATAATTCTCAAYTCATTTGATGCTTTCAATAAAATGTCATCTTCACAATGATGAATATTCTAGTAATTTTTTTCGCGGCTTTTGTTATTTATTTCTTCATGCATTTTTTATTTTATTTTGCATTTTTTTACTTAATTTTTTACTTAATAAATATCGCAGTGTGAATGGCACACAATAGCGCTGATTTGCTTAGAATTTACTCTCATCTTGTCAAAAACATTCCGCAATCCACAAACCTACWAAGTTAGATTATGACCATCAAGTCAAGGGTACGACTCTGTGAACTCACTGGTTCATTTCGCTACTTTTGCYGGCGTTTACAAATCAGATATCTAGAGTCTGCTAAGTGCTGAAATGAAACTGTTTTATTTACCAAAATATAAATAAAAGCAATAAAAAGGATATCCTGAGCAATAGGATTGTGACGTTATCTATAGAATCATGGTGCACTGCATAAAACTGTAACGTTTCAAAGAATCGTGACAAGAGTCATCGCATTATGACGTCATCTCCACCATTAAGAGGATTATGACGTCATCACAACATTATGACGTCTACCAAAGCGTTGAATCTAAAATCGGGCCAGTTTACATGGATCCACGGCTAGTTTTGAAACAGATYGCAGTAACAATCGTAATGTTGATCAAGCCATTGTGGCGTAGAACATTATGGCAGAAGCTATAGGAATGTTACGTAAGGATTGTGACGTCAAAGAAAAGCTCCTGACGTCACTGTGCTGATCTTTGGTATAGGAATGATCTTCACGCAGCACCCGGCTTTTGGCTGAAAGCGCCTTGACTAGCGATCCAAATAAGTAGATTGTAGTATCAATGGGCTATTTTTAGTAGTATTTCCTTCGCTTTTTTTCTCGTTAATACTGACGTTAGTACAAAGGATTATATTAGAAAGTCAACTATAATGCAGTACTTGGCATGGTGTCCATTAAACTTGAACATCAACCACTTTAATACACTCTGACTGTTTGCCCACTTTGGTAAAGGACTTGAGTGGAACAGAGGAAATCCATCGCTCTAATCTTGTTCATTATTAACCGCATTCCAAAACTTAAAAGACGAATATATCTATAGACTAATGTGACAATATACAAACCTAATACTTCAAGTGGTTCAAAAGTAGCTTCAAGCATTTTTTATTTCATTTTTGTTCTTATATTTTCAGTTTTTTAGGATTAGTTCTAATGGCTCCATAATACTGGATCAAAATAAAAAACTAAGACAGGATACAGATTACGTAAAAAAAAAGCTTTTGTAAATATACTTGTTTGGTAAAAGATGTTGGTAAGACGTCACCAGAACTTTTATATTTCATTTTAGGGCTACAATGGAAATTTCCTTTATGCCATATTAGGTAATAATGCCTATATATAGTTCACTTCTTCAAGGTACTTCAAGCTGCAAACCATTGATGTTTCGTCTTTTATGGAACTCCATTAGTTACTTATTAGAGAAAGAAACAGAAAATTTGTTATAACTTTAAAGTTGGAATTTCTAGTAAAATGATAAAAATGAATGACGTGCGGTATTTTTAGGATTTACTGATGCAAATTACATCGACACCATTTTGTAGCAAAAAAAAGGATGATGAAAAATTGATTCATCGCTCTTTTTTATTCTGTATGCTAAWATAATCCCCCGAAATCACACAATTTCTGTAAAGGAAAAAGAAAACAGACAAACATGGATTCATGAGGATTATCTTGGTGAACAGTGAAAAAAAAATGGAAGACTATCAATCCCATCATGCTTTGTTCTAGAAAATGGCGACGATGCGCATTTGACAAGTTCAACTCATTTGACATAAGAGTCAATTAAAAGTCTATGATTGCAATTAGTAAGAAGCCTAATGTCAATATATACTAACAGGGAGTCGTTAARCATTGCAAAGTGTGATTTTGTACCATTAAGGACTAACAGAGCTGAACTCAGTAAGTCAGCAAACGACGTAGTAAGAGGAGACAAATAGTGCACTAACAGAATCAACAAAGAATTGAATTGTGAGAAAGATGAGACTCAATACTCACCATTAAATTTATTCTATAAATTTTAATTTGTTGATAAATGTCTTGTCAAAACTTTTACGTCTGTTTTCCTGCGTACACAGAAAGAATCTGCGTACCAAACACACAAAAACAGATATTAATATTAGTTTAATACCTCTGTCTTACGTCAACTCTCCTTATAACGGACACATTAGGGTGTCCGGTGTAAAGGAGGCTGAGGTCCACTGTACATATCTTGAGTATTTTTKGGGGTGGATACCATTMACTGCGTATTACGCRSGTACAACAATATAWAGCACATTGAGTCAAACGTAAMGTGACGATTTCTGCGTAAAGCCAACGTACCGAATGTCGTAGTTCTCGGGAGTAACGATCCAATAATTTCTTCATATCTGAGCTTGTCATCTTGTTAGGATTGAACACTAAATACTGAGAGAGAGGGAGGGAGAAATGTGAGATTGATAGGCATTGTGGGAATTCATTTACACAAAAATACACCTACAACCTTTCACGCAAAAAGCAACTATAATTGTTCGCCCGTATAAGTTCTCTAACGAAAGGCAACACAAATACACTATTCAAAAGCGTTACTGGAGGCTGGGTAGTTAACTCTGCAATAGGCGATGTGCAGCGACGCTATTTTGTGCAGCAAAGCATGATGGTAGTTGTAGTCCGTGTACTTATTAGAGACCCTAAATTATCCCTTTTTACATTTTCTTAGTAGAAACGGTAACTAMTAACTTCTATTTTTGCTTAGAAAAAAACAAACACTCCTTAGGAGSACTGTTGTAGYAGACAAAAGTACAAGGACTACAACTACGATCATGCTTTGCTGCACAAAATGGYGTCGCTGRACACTGCCCATWGTSCGCGCGTCAGGGCAAGATTCTACCTTCCAGTGGATTCTCTCACAGCTATGCATGTCRTGGACTATGGGTAAGCTTAGTTTGATTTTCTTGACAATATGGCCATCTGCAATCAATCAACATAAAACAGAGTTAGCAACAATAAAACGCACAATATCATTGGTCAATATAACAGCAATAAAACACACAATATCATTGGACAATATAGCACAAATACACCAAGGTATATTGATATTATTGATTATTTAATGACATTATTATCATAATCATGTGGTTCTGTGTTTACTTACATTTTTCATAAGACGATACGAAATTGTTTATAAGATCGCATAAACTCTACAAGAAAAGAGAAACCTTTTTTGTTATTTATTCATTGAAAAGCCATAATCAAACAATTCAAGTGAAAAAAAAATGCTTTACCTTTGATTCCAATGGTTTATACATAAGGTCTTCTCTTCTACTCAGTCCCAGTGCACCATATTTCCCATTTGCAACAACACCTAATACAATGTGTCTATAAAAGCAATTGTATACTTCAGTCACAGAGAATAAAACTAAGGGCCAYTTACAAGTGGGCTTCCTGTGTAATGGGGACATAAAATGGGCTTCCTGTGTATTGTGACTTTACATTTTCATAGGGCCAACCACCTTTGACCCAGAATGTACTTACATAAGTTGTAGAAGTTCTGGATGGATATGTTGGGGTTAAAAATAAGACTAAGATACCTTCAAAATGGGGTCTTAGTGTTATTTTTTTAGCTCAATAATATTGTGACTTACCTATACGTTTTTGATGAAAATTGGCTTTTGAAGCTAATAGTAAATCTTTGTAGTTCTTGTATACCACTTGTAAAATATCTGTTAGGCACTCATTTAAGGAAAAAATAGAAACTAAAGGAAAAACTTTACATTACAATTACATAAAATCATGCAAAATATCATACATTTTATCATATTTTTTTTATTTTTTATCATTTTTTCTACTTTGGGCTTCTTTTGTTGTTGAATTATAATTAACCCTGGTTCTCAATTTTTCACACAGCTGAACTGGATCCAGCTTGAACTTATACATCCACATGTAAAAATGCTTTTACAATATTGGATACAGTGAGACAATGACTGCTTCTAGACATTTAATAGGTAAGGATTCCCTAATAATTTCTCTTGCGGCATCCATAAGACTGCAAAATAGACATAAAATGAATAGGAATAATCTTAATTGAATAGGATCATGTGTAAGAATGACATTTCAATCAAGTTTTCCAGACTCCCAACCACACTCCACCAAATCATTCTCTATATGCCTCAAAACCAGCTTAACCTTCCAATGAATGATTGAAATATTAATATTTATTGACCGTTTTCAACCATTCCCATGAGATTCAAAAGATGAAAGACCATCAGCCATGTTGTAGGAATGAACATTGATACTAATGAGAAATCTTTTGTTGAAGTTCCTCCAAGATGGCCGCAGTGACGTAACTTGAAAACAAAGAATACATACCCGCTGACAGGCCTGTTTTTCTTGATCTCAAATAACTGTGTTCCTGTGTGATTATATCTGAATAGAGTTAAGGTGGCTTCATGGAATCTTCAGTGTCCACCAAAAAATAATTTGTAGCAAAAATCATAGGTAAGATTATCATAGTTTGCTTGAGTTATTTAGGACTAGCCTGCACCAATTGTTATGTAATTTTGATGTAATGTTGCTACAACTGTATTTCTATCATATATGCAAAACAGTCAGACTACATAACATAACATGACATAACACAACATAACAGAACGTAACATAATGTAACATAACATTAACATAACATAACATAAATATGGATACTGTAATTGAAGCAGGTAATCTTGTATAAGTCTGAGTCGATCAGGAATTGACATTACTGGAGTAAACTGAGGAGGGTTRGCCATAGGTATCTGCAAACATTAGAGTTAMRYTAMTCATTAAACRWACAGAGRTTTTTYAAAGCCACTTGAAAAATATCTWTGYYTACAATGCAAGCCAGTTRACCTGGAAGTACTYAGCTAAATACATGTAAACAGKCTGAAAACCCTACTAGTCCATACAGTGAATTCCCGTAGCCTTATTTCAAAAARTAATATTTAAACAGCAKAAGCTGATGTTCAACAATAATGTGGCAAAATGAAATRAATATCAGCAAACCTTTTCGAGGTCTGGATTGTTTCGTATTCGTTGCACCATTCTGAGTTTTTCAGGGTGAATATTTTCAACATGTCTCCACATTCTCTCCCAGTTTTTTGAAGACATAGGAAAGCCATCTCTGTTCACGTAAAAAAGGACGCCGTTCTCTTCTTGAAATGGAGTATCGTTCTCTTCTTCTTCGTTTGTATTTGGACTTTCAAGTGAATTGTTGAGGTTAGATTCTGGCGAATTCATCTTTGTCAGAATAGTGCTACCACGAACTCCGGGCTGATTTGCGCTGTCTTTCACACAAATTCTTAAAATTAATTCTTCCTTTAGATACTAGATGCTTTTTGAATACGTCTTTAGGTAATTTTCGGTGTTAGATTATTGAAAATAAGGACTTRACTAGCATTTTACATACGAGCATGTTTCAAAACAACAATTTATGATCGAACAATGAGAAAGGAATGATATGATTGAATTGTTGCTTAGCAACTAACCACAATCACCGCTGACCACCTCATGACTTGTGGGCTTCCTGTGGATTTTTTGAGCGATTTGTGGGGCGGATGAGAAGCAAATTTCAAAGTTTTCAGCCAGGCTAGGCTTATACAAATCGATAAATCGGGAATATTAAATGATTTTCACACTGGTACACTCAAGTGAATGTGTTTTATTTTTACTCTTGAGTAATTCTTATAAATATTTATTCGTATTTTCAAATGTCACCAGGTCCAGGAATGCACTAAATAGCGAAGTGAACTGCTTTGCAAGTCCAGTAAAGCAATGACAAGTTTATAGAAAACCTTTCTTAATTACTGGATGAAGAAATTGTACCTTCTGTACGGTTATGTATGAATGCCAGAGATATTGTGAAATTCTTCTAAGGAATCCCTTTGAATTGCTTGAGTTTTAACAAAACGTGTCTTCCAAAAAAAGTCACAAAGAGTCATTCACTGCTTCAATAAACTCTTTTTTTTTTCAAAATCCCAAAGTTTTTTATTCAATTGTAAAGACTAACTCCTAAATTTCATATATAAACGAAACTGACTCTACGCCTTGGGCAAGAGAGGTACGCTATCATGGCAGTATTTCCACTAACATCACCGAACATGATATCTATATAAACTATCTTGATAATTTAAGGTCATTTTGGACCAGTTTGAAAGAGAACGTTACGTAAAGACGAAGAACCAGACGWTGTAATGGACGGTAAGGTCTGAACAGTCGCCATTGAACCAACAAGAAGAGGATTTCCACTGACAGGCGCACCCTGGACCATTTGCGGTCTGAAATACAAAACAAAAGAACAGTTAAAATGGTGTGAGAATCGCCGGTGTTTCTAATGCAACAGTTGAGAAAATGATGAAACAGACATCGTAAAACGAAAAAATTAAAACTTGCTGACGTTTCGGACTTCAGTCTTTCATCGGAGTAGACGAAGAACGACCGATAAACCTCCGAAACGTCGGTGTGCCTTCCTTATCCTTTTTCGGCGTATAATCGATCCCTCAATCACAAGATAGTTAATACTAACTGTGATAATTGTATAGACGACCAATAATACAACACGATRATAATTCAAATTCTAACCTCGTCCCCATAGGATCCATCAAATTACTAATGGTCGGTTTGGGTGGCAAATGATTCCCTGTYATGCCTGGTGGAGCCAAAGGTGTAATTGGTGATATACCCCCCATAGACAGGGCGGAGGTGGGYACCATGGGCGTCGCTGTTGGCCCTGCTGGGGTGGTTGGCATGGTTACGGGAGGCGTGGTCCCAGCAGGGAGGTGTTTAGTAGGAATGGGCGTTGARCTCGCTATTTGACTCCTACGGTCTGTAGGTGGTGGGGCCAGCGGCATTGAGTTTGATGTCAGTCCTGAAAGAAGTGGATTGGTGGCGTTTCCACGGCGACCTTGAAGAGGTGTGGCTTCTGCATCGGATTCGTGTTGAAGGAAATTTACAAACAGTTCCGAAAAGGACTGGAAATAGATGAAAAAGGGATCACTTTGATAAGAAGTTACGATAAACAAAGTTGAAGATTAAAGGYTCTTGTCAAATGGACTAAATTTGCCAATTACGAAACACATCAACACAAAACAGAACCGCATAAAAGGCCGAATTTGGCGGCACAACTTTTGCCTACAGCCATCATATGCGACCTGCGTAAGTCATTTATACAACATAGCTACAACTGTCGTAGGAATTTCAAACAATTGCTTTTAAGCCCTACAACAGTTGTAGCCATGTTGCAAGGATGACTTACGCAGKTTGCATACGATGGCTGTAGGCAAAAGTTGTGCCGTTAACACAATGCAGCTCAGCTCAAAATGCATTAAGGCATGCCAAATCAATCACAACAAACCATAACATAACATAAGAACGCAATGCAAGACAAAATAACCAACCAATATCTTGAAGACCACGTAAAACAACAAAAATACCTTGTCGATATCAACAGGTTTGTTTTTTACTGACGGCGAGCGTGGTGTACCGCCGAATGGTAACAAACTTGAAATCCATCCACCTTGATTGGGAGGACTAGAGCCTGAACCAATCTGTCGATAAAGGTAAACATTAATAGTGATATATTTCTCGGCTCAAATGCCGCAAAAAGCAAACCAAAACAAGACACTTCGATCTATATCAGTAGTAAATAACTATTTCTGCGCAGCAAAATACCTACCTTTTCAAGTTCTTCTTGAGTAAAACCCAACAATCCCCCGATAACGTGAACAACGTCAGCTCTCTTGGCCTCAGGAGTGTTAAAGTAGCCTTTTAGAAGGTTGCGCAGTAATGTTCTATTACAAAAACAGAAGAAGCATTTATAGACTTAGATAAAGACATAGATCCCTAGCAATAACTAGAATTACAGGGCCACCTAGGAGACAAAGCGATGAATTCAGTTAAAAAAAGCGGAAACTTTTGTTTTGTCCCCCAGATGAAGGTGCTTTGACTTGTAAGGTGGTTGCAATGATAGCAAACAGATCGCAAAATACGTAAGAGGCTGGGCTGCCTGTGGTAGTGACTTACTTGTCTACTTTGTTATCATTAGAGCTGTTCATTTCTTTTATGACGTTATGGCTGATGCGAAGATCTTCCTCCATCTTGGAAACTAATAAGGTAAACCATGTATAAAGGTATATAATAAAGAAAGGAAACTTTTAGCTCAATATTTAATGTGCAAATTGCTCCTTGTAAGTTGAGCATTCTGAAAAATTATTCTTCGAGTTTGTGTAAAGTTATAGTGAGATATCGACTCAACGCAAATCTAATTACCGGGCCAGTTTCTATCAATCAATCAAATGATCAATCAATCAATCAATCAATCAATCAATCAATCAATCAATCAAAATTCAATAAGAAAACTGGCAACGCTTCACTTTCGTTCTGCTTCTGATTAGTTATAAACAGCATTTCCGCATTCAGTCTTGAGAACGTTACTATTTACAAGACGAGTTTTGTTAGCAATCCATCATCGTTGAATATTCTATAAAATAAGGGTTTGASGRTAGATGCGGGATACCTGTGGTCTTGTGYTGCAGTATCTCTTCATCTTTGTTGGTCAGCTCTTGTTKTAAGCGATGAACCTCGTGTTCGATAGCAGCAGCGTTTTGTAACTGGACCTAAAGGAGAACAGTTGTCATCATCATCGTTACTGGAATCATACCCATCTCTACTCTCACTTACTCTTAGCTGGTTTTCACGATGTTGCATCTGCATGACTTCAGCACGAGCCGCATTGATGTGTTTTTGAGCATTGTCCCTTTCCACTGACAGCTGAGCTTCTTTCTCTGACCGAAGAATATTATTTTKTATTATTTTATTATTATTACAGTCCGGCTACTGGAACCGGGGCCACCTAGAGAATATAAAATCACACAATTTCGATTGAAAACAAAAGATTCAGACTAAGGAAACTTCATCGTATTAAGCTTTAGTTCTTTGCAATATCACTGATCATCGTTTTTTAGCTTTTAAAGCCTTGTTCTCAATTGAAATTGTGATTATTTTACTTTCTCTTGGTGGCCCCGGTTTCAGTAGCCGCACTGTAATATAAGTCAAACAGAAAAAAACAAATACGACACAAAAATATTTTGAGCATTTTTTTACCTCGTTGAAATTGTTCTAAAACCATCTGTAGATTGTCMAGTGACGTAGCATATTGTTGAGCCTGTTCTTGTACAGCGGCTAGCTGCATGACTGCCTCGTCCCGCTGMCCGGCAACAGAGTGAAGCTGTTCTTGTAGACTCTCGAGCTGCTGATTAGCCTGACGACTATTTATCGAAAAAAATCAACGAATAGAAATAGTTTAATACTTTTATTTCCAGTTGAAAAATATTCCGAGTCTCGATTGTTTTTTGTTTTTGTTATTCGTTTTTTATTTCTATTATCATTTCCTTTGTTTCTCATTTCGATTGTTCATTTCTTTGCTCTATTGTTCGTTTGCTTTTTCTTTCCGTAATTTTGATCGTTCAAATGTTTGTCAGATTTGCTTATTCAGTTTTTTTTTTCACGTAATCTCACCTCCTATCTTGCATGGAGTGCGAACTAGATAGAATCTGTTCCTCAGCCTGTGCTAGTCTGATACGCAGGTTCTTCTCGCGTTCCTCTGCTTCCAACGCTTCTCTCGTGTAGCTCTCTTCGACCTGCGGAATTTCATATTGACTTAGAGGGTTAGAACCCTGGGAAGGGGATTCTCCCTTCAAAATTAGTAAGCATGCTTTGGAAGTATTAACGAGTCTTCGTAAAAAGGGCTTTCACTATACCTTGATCAAATGCTCCCGCAGTCGATCGAGCTCTCTGGTCGACTTGGCTTGAGCTTCCTTCTGGCCGCCRTTAGCCTTTGACAAATCGCTTTGTAGAGTTGCAATTCGTTCCTGAAGACTGTCAACCTTTCTCGTTTGTTCTTCCTTCTCCCTCGATAACTCGTTAATCCGGTTATCTTTATCCTGTAAAACCTGCTGATATTGTTCACTATTGACATGAAGTTTGGCAGCGTTTGAYTTCTCTTCAGCTAGTAAATTYGAAAGACGATTGCTTTCTACAGAAAGTTTCTCAATTTGGTTGTCCTTCTGCGACAAGATRGCTTCGTTCTTTTCTTTCTCGATTTTWAGCTTCTCGAATTCGTTTTCAATYCGTTGTTTTTCTCGAGTAGATCTCTCTAAGTCATGTCCTTTATTTCTTTCATTTTCCGTAACAACTTTTGTTAGGTTTATCACCTGACTTTGTAAATCTGCAACTATACTTTCCTTTTCTTGTAGCAAATCCTCTTTCTCATTTTGTATCTTGATAATTTGCTCACTGAGATCTTCTTTCTCTCGTAAAACTTCCCTCAATTCGAAGTCTCTTGAATCCGAAGAMTGTGTCAGTACATTTAGATTTGAAATTTGGTTCTTTAAACTACGAATTTCGTTATCCTTCTCGCGAAGTACATTAGTTCTCTGGTTGATAATTCTCTGGATAATTCCTGAATAATTCTTATCGACGTCCTCAAAACCTTCTCCTAGAGTAAAATTACAGTCACCTAAAGAATTCAGAGCCCTTATAAGTTTGTTTTKTAATTCTGTGATTTCTTTGCTTGTTGTGTAATGAAGTTCGTCCTTCTCTTGTCGTAAATTCTCGTTTTCGAGTGACAAGGATTCTTTGAAGTTTGAATGAGATTCCTGAACTAATTCTAATTCTTTTTGTCGAGAATGTAAAGCGTCGTTCAAAGTTCTTACTTCCTTCTCAAGATTAAATATCTTATCCTCCTTCTSGCGTAAAGACGACGACTTACTTCGAAGTTCGTTTAGTTCATGTTTTGAGGATTCCGAACTTGAGCGCAATTCATTCAATTCCTTCTCCAGCTGCTCTGTACGATCAGCTTTTTCTCTGAGATTTCTATTCAAATTTGATAATTGTCCTTCTAAAACTGATATTTGTTGCTCTTTGATTYGTACTTCRTGACTAGAAAGGTTTTCCTGTTGAGCTGRTTCAATTTCCTGTTGCCAAAGTCCTCCTAACGGYAAATTTGTWGAATGWGTTTKGGMARMTGCCAYTGGAGTCGACGCATCTGCCAAAGCAACAATTTGTCTGTCCTTTTCACTGATAAGCGTCAGTAATCGTTCTTGTTCTTGCTTTAGACTGTTGATATGCTGCATGTACTCATTTTGCAATCTAATGAGCTCATCATGGTTTGATTTCTCTTTGTCATCAAGCAATTTCATAATGTAATCATTCTTCTCTCTCATCTTGGCGATTTCGTTGCCCTGTGACTCGTTTAATGCAAGCAACCTGTTGTGCTCTCCTTGTAAGACAACTGAAGCTTGTGCTTTCCCACTCATTTTGTCCTGTAGGACTTCCAGACGGTCATTCATTGAAAGTAACTGCTCGTCTTTCAACTCCAGCTCCGCCATTAGTCGGTTGGTCTCTTCGGTCAAATGAGTGATTTGTTGTATATAGTGATCGAGAGCTTCATTGCTCGACTGATCAGTCTGGTTGACTGCGGCTATCAGTGACGCTTCTTTCTGCTTCATGGCTTCAATTTCTTGGTCTTTTTCTTGAAGAAGGCGCATYATTTGAGAGATTTGTCCTTGAGRGGAATGGTGTCCGTCAACAGTCGACGTACCCGYCTGACTTTGCAATAGTCCTTCTTTYTCTTTCAAGTTTTTATTRATTTTCGCCACTTCTAGCCGCAGTAGATCGTTTTCGGCGCCTTTTTCTCTCAAATCAAGCTTTAGATTATCTACTGCAGTTTCTTTGTCTTCCAAATGTTTCTCTAGCTCTTCTTTCTTTCTTCTTAAAGATGTTAACTGGTGGTCCAGTTCTCTTCTCGTTGCTGCGTTGCTGCCAACCAACTCATTCAATTTATCCATCTCCATTTCCAAGTGTTCAAATTCGCTTCTCTTCTCTTTAAGCTCCCGCTCTAATACCCCTAGAGTCAGGTTCTTTTCTTCTAAAGACGTGTTTAATCTCTCGTTYTCWGCTGAAAGTGCTCCAATTCTATCCTCTAAGGTCTTTCTGCTGAACTCACCATCCTTCACTTGAAAGCCAAGTTGTTCCACCTCAAACTGTAGATGAGAAAGTTCAGACARTTCTTTYTCTTTACTATGTAATTTGTGCTGGATTTCCTGGATGGAATCACATAGGTTATCTCTTTCAACGCCTAACGCCTTTGACTCTTCGGTAAGCGAGTTGACAAGTTGGTCCTTGCTTTGCAACAAAGCCAGAAGATTTTCCTTCTCGTTACGCAGGTCACGCAGTAACAGCTCACTCTCCCGGACATGCTCCGAAAGGCTCCTGTTTTCAAAGCTGACTTCTTCAAACGCGTGATTTTTCTCCTGGAATGAGTTCATTAAATCGTCGTTTGCTTTTTTGAAGTCCTCAGCTTCCTTCCTTTTCTCTTCCAGCAGGTGAAACATCCCGTCTTGCTCAGCACGCAACATTTCAATATCGTTTTCCTTCGAYGAAGAAACATCTAGCATCTGAGAGTCAAAGCTGTCCTGCATTTCGAGGATCTTTTCGTCTCTTTCGTTTATCATTGCCATCATACTTTGTTTACTTTCTTCGAAGTTCTTCGCCTCGTAGCATTTCTCCTCGAGTTGTGCGCTGATAAGTTCGACTTCAGTTGTTTTGGCTTCAATTTGATTGATAAGATCGTTCGTTTGCTCTCTAAGAAGAGAGTTGTCCCATTCTAGTTCCTCCAGAGCTTTTTTAGCATCTTGATAGTGTTTCTCGATAGTAGACTTCTCTTCAAGACTGATACTCATAGCCGACTCGTCGTTGGTGTGCCTTTCTCGATATTCCCTTAGCTCTGTCCTCGTTCGAATGACCCACTCTTTCAAATGAAGTTTCAGCACATCAGCTCTTTCGATCTCATCCTCAAACTCACAGACATCATCTTTATTAATAACTTCAGAGGAAACTAGCTCGTTTTCAAAGCCTCGTAGAGATTTGATCAAGTCAAACCGTTGCTGAACGAGATCACCATTTTCTTGTCGTAATATTTCTATTGTTCTCGAGTCTTCGGCGCTTGCTTTTTCTTTCGTCTCCTCGTCCGTCTTTAAGCTCTCTTTAAGCTGTTTTATTTGAGATTTAAGATCAATTACCACTTGCTCCAAAGCACTTTTGTCATTTTCCAAGTCAGACTTGATGTATTCAAAGTCTTCAATGTTTGTTCGGTATTCTTCTATTTGTTCATTAAGTTGTTCGATGATCCTTTCATAATTCTCAATCTGTCTGGATTCGCCCTCACTTCGAAGCTTATCAGTCTTATTCAAGGAATTCTCCTCGTTAAGAGGTATACTTTCCATGGATTCGACCTCCGTTTCGACAATATCTGAATTATCGAACACCTTTTCTTCAAAATCAATATCACTTATTCTGACAGGTCTTCCTTCGAGTACCCGGACTTTCTGTCGGAGTTCTTGAACTTTGTTTTGCAGGCCGACGATCGTTTCTTCAAGAACGGTTTTTTCCGCTTGCAAAGACACGATCAAATCGTTTCCTTCATCAAGAGTATCAGCAGTTGTCTGACAACCTATGTCTGTTATCATTTCCTTAGTTTCCTGGAATATTTGTTCGTTGTCTGCTCGAAGGTCTTCCACGACGCTTTCTTGCTCATCAATTTGCGTCCTTAATTCAGACGATTTTTGAATCAATTGGTCTTTCTCTTGGAGAACTTTGTCGCGACGCTTAGAGTTGGAGTTGGTTAATTTGGCTTTTACGTCGGCGACTTGCTGGCGGATGGACTGGTTGTTTGCCTGGAAAAACAGGAGGGARAGAATGAGTAAGYGATCATCAACAAGAAAGAATCAGAAAACTTGGCATGATRGTTTAGGATATCATGCAGGTGGATATCGAATTTGTAATAAYAAAAACGAAATACTAAAAATGGAAAAGAGGCACTGGAAATTRCGAGTGAAATTTGATAAAAATATAATATCTTACAATAGCGAGATTTTCCCTGTGAAAGAGGCCAGTAAACCATTGCAATGAAAAGTGAAAATTATGCAACACGTGATATCGAATTATATTAGCATTACATTAAAACGTTAATACGATTGTACATTAGGAAAWTCGCCACGAAAAGCAGAGAGCAGCTAAAGAATGCATTACTCATATCATGCAGAGTACTTAAAGTCAAACAGTCCCTAAAGATTTCCAGTAGAAACATTGATACCAAAGTTAGGCAAAGTCTTCGTACTAGATTAATACTCCTTTAAATCTGTCATAAATCTTGCCAAAAACTTCCCCTCCATTAAATATGTCTCGGCTAAACATAAATGGTGAAATAWTTGTCAAATCGGGTTGAAATCACTTTTAAATCGTTAAATCAAATCAGATTCGTACCAACTATATRATTTCTTATCAAACTGTAAAAGTCTCTTTTAAATACTTTGATCTGCTGGAAATTTTACTCAGACTGCTTGAAATGCATGTTACTTGAGAAATCATAGATAATTATAAGGCTGCCAAGAAGAAAACAAGAAGAATAACTGCTTATATACARTCGCTCTCTTAGTTGCATATTAGCATGTAAGAATCATGTAAAAGTTACAATCGGTGACAAAACTGTAGTYGCGAATGAGCCGAAATTGYACTTCTCCCATGTCTTTAACCTCCCCTTCAACCGATACAGTGATGCCTTGATAGGTGATGACCTKCAAAGGTTACATTGAGGACTACCAAAACTGTATCGAGGAAGAGTGGAAGCAATGGCTTTAATGTGTTAAGATATACGATCTTACTTATGGAGARCATACTCCATCTTTAGCACAAGCATCTTTAACACATTATGTCCGCTATTTTAGCTGTAGGCTTGTCAAGGCTTCTTGAATTTCATCCACATTAGATTGCTATTGTTCTGATTTKACTTTACAATACTCTAGAAAATCCATTAAATTGTTCTTAAAATATTTTATGTATTTTAGGATCTATTTTAGGATCTTATTCAAGTTTTGTTTTTTTTTTTCAGTTGCTTTGTGTTATTAAGAATAGCCAAAGGCTGACTCTCAAATTTGAGATTAAAGCTTTAAATTATTTCTTTACAATTTTTAGAAAGTTATACTTTAACCCATCATGTTTATTTTTTTTATAAACTGGAAATTCTTAATTTGAAGTTCAATTATGAGCCTGAAATAGTCATGTTATAAAAAAGATCCAAAATAAAATTTCAAAAATTCATAAACGCATTTTATAAATTAATTGCACAGCACAGCAACCCCTCTTGGGATACCTGTGGTCCTCTCAAAAAACAGGAAGCCCAAGACAAAGCAAAGTTAAGCAAGGAAAGAGACTAGTGCAACAAGTAAGAAGATAATGAGGAAGACTTAGCTTGGTAATTTATCTTAAAGAGAATATTATTTCAAAGACAACATAGACTTGAGTTATTTTTCAATAATTAAAGGGTTTTTAGAAGGTTAACATGCAGCCTGGAGTCTTACAAGTTTTTCTTTAAGCTCAAGCATTTGCTCCTTGTCGGCAAACAAACTTAACAGAAGCTGGCAAGCAGTGTAAGCCAATTCTTCTTGTTTACTTTCGGCCAGCACAGAAAAATTAGAGGGGTTYATTACATGTCTGGCTTTCAACTGTGCCATTAGTCTTTGATTGCTTGAGTGCAAATCGTGTCTGACCTTCTGATAAAGCTGCAGTGTTGCCAGATAACGCTCCCACAGGGCTGCAATACAAAATGCATGAAATGAATGAAAAMCAACAGCACAAGATAAYCACAATTGTAGTCTTAAAAAAATGTAAATCTTGAATGACGTTTTCCTTGGTTCACGACATTAACACTYACCACTGATAATGTTTTTGAGGTGTATAATCTCATCTTTAGCATCGCCCTCAACCAAACARACTTTTCTCAAGCTCTCAATTTCCACACGCTGCTCTTGCTGTGCACCATGGGAAAACTCAAGCTCCTCCATTAACTCTAGTGTTGAGGCATTTAAAGATGCAAGGTCCTCCTTAATCTCATCTAGAGAATGGCGTAGACTGTCCTTCTCATTTTGAATCCTATCTCTTTCTTTTCCAATAGATTCAATTTCAGTGTCCTTTTCCTGCAGTTGTTCTTTGAGCAGGTTTAAATCATTTGAAAGTGAAGCTAATTTATTCTCTTTTTCTACAAGCTGTTCTTGTAAAGATCCAACTCCTAAAGTCTCTTYGTGCATGTCTCTTATTTCATTTGTAACTTGCAATTCCTCTTGTGTTTCATTCAACTTACTTGTAGACTCCTCAAGCTCTCTTCTGAGATTYACAAGTTCTTCATCTTTTGCGTTTATGGAGGCAAAAGCCTTCTCAAGCTGTTGGCGRTGTTGAGTAATTGTATTACGGGTCAAATCAAGTTCCTCTTTTAAAGCGCTGATATCATCATCACTACTTGGCTTCATTCCTTCAAGATTGTCRACCTCTGCATGATAGGAGAAATATCAGAAATGGTCATTTGTCCAGTTTTGTACTACCCCTGTTGAATTCTTATGAAATTATTCTTGGTGAATTTACAGTTCCAATATACCTCAGTCAAACACAGACTGTACTACTTGAATAAAATCTACTTTCAATCTACACCAAGTAGTTACAACAGAGGCCAATTATAATACCAATATACTACAATATACCAATATACTACTACCCACCTTCCAGTATGTTGAGTTCATGTTGTAGGTCATCTATCTTTCTGAGATATCCCTGCTTCTCATCCTCCCATTTCTGCATTTCCATTTTATGCTTTTTGTTTAAGTTTGCAATTTTTTTGGAGTATGTGGTTTGAAGTGTAGACAACTCATGTTGATATTGGTCTATTTCTCGATGAAGCTTTTCCTGACTTTCCTAACAGAATATTATATGATCTATTCATGTTATCTGTCAATGGAAAGGAAAGAAAAAATGATTGCTGTACCTGTGAGCTTGATAACGTCTTCCAGTGATGGCATTCAGTTTGAAGCCTCACAATTTCATTCTTGAGGTTTTTTATCTCTTCATGTTCATCAAAACTATCAGTGGAGTCATGTCTAATTCTGTTCCATGCARTCTCATCGTGATTACCATGGCTGTTGGCAGCTAACTCTTTCTTTAATTGTTGGATTTTTTGCTGAAAGATAATGGTAATGTTTATTTGAAATGCAGAACTTTGTTTTTCATCAGCATCAAAATGGATTTAAAAAGGTCGAACAGACTGAATCTCAAGTTATGAAGGGTGCAGCTATTTCAATAATGATAGAAATATGGGGTGAACTAAGCTTATACTTTTTAYGGTGTAAAATTTATTTAATTTAATATTCTATTCAATAATGGCGGAAGCTGAATGCAGATGAAAGTTTGGCACACTGATAGCTCAATCTTTGAATCACTGCTGATATTAGGCCAATCCACTGCCATGCTGTCCATTCATCAATTCAAACTACTTGGTTTGGTGTAACTGTGGTACAACATGTGAATCCAGCCTAAGTCACCAACCTCTTTGCTCCCTAACTGTCCCCTGTAGTCTTCGGCAACTTGTCTTGCTTGTAAATCAGCTGCTTCAACTCTCTCTTGTAGCTCGTCATTCACTTTGGTAAGTCTCTCGAACTRTAAAACACGTTTATATTTTCAACAACAGMAAAATAACAATATCATGTGCTATSAGCATTGGTTATAACTAAGTAGACTGAAAATCCTGTCACCAAAATAAGATTTCTTCTGTTTTTTCCTTCTTTTCAACTTTTAATTTTGTGCAGAAAAAAAGTTGCAAAGTTTTCCCATGACTCCCAGTCATTGCACAGTGTATTTTAAAAAATATATATATAACTAAGACTAAACCTTTACGACAAAATATAAGTATTGCTGGTCACTCTCTGCGATCGTGTCTTGTAAAGGATCGAATGTGGAAGACACTGCACAGGGAATTGGTTATTTTGATTTGCAAATGATTTCAAAGTTTAGCAYATTTACCTCGAATTTCTGATTCTCCAAAGCTGCATTTAGCTCTCTTATGTGATGTCTCGCTACATTTAAYTCAGCTGAGGGATCTGAAAAAGTGAAAAAACTGAAGTTTTTAATCTAGCTGTTCTAKCAAAGACAAAAGTTGAAAATCATAAAGACCCATAAACACAAATGAATCAGACGAAGACACACATGGCAGCACACCAAATCCTCAATTTGTTGTGACATTTGGAATAATACTAAAGCTTTATCCTCTGGAAAAAMAACAATCATATGATACATATACAGGCTTGGGTTATAAGGTGCATCAAACAACTGAACGGTTTACCTGCGACTTCCTCTGTCCCTTCGGTCAACATTTCTCGGGTAAAATTAGAAATCTGGCCGGTAATGTTGGATAGAGAGGACAGACTGTCCGTGATATTCAAGTTTGGTCTCAGCCAAGACATTTTACAAAATAATACAACCTAAAAACACTGAAATATTTTTACTGATCGCTCTCCATGTTGGTTTTGGTAGTGGATGATGTGGCACGAAGATACTACGAAAGCTCTGATTGGCTGTTTATCCGCCATTTGCAATGGACATCAACTTACACGATGAAGTCCCTTAGAGTGAGTGCTAAAAAGGCAAAGTTTACAAAAKAAAAATTTGTGAAATGCACTGTTATTGTTCTCCAAGCTTGGTTTAACAACGGTCAAATAATCTATAATTTAAAGCTCGATAGTCAAACTGTGAAAAAGTTWGTTAACTATTAACTATTTAGGTGACTTCCCATAAATTAGTGAAGGCSCGCCAAAGAAACCGTCGAGAAAATCAGGGGACATATACCCTGGTTCCAGAGGCTTGTCTTTTATTCTTTTGCTTACTATAAGCAAAAAGAATAAAAGACAAGCCTCTGGAGATCTGGAACCAGGGTAGGGGGCATAGAAAAGTACTCTAAAAAAAGTTTTATAGGATTTTTAGATGACGGAGGTTCAACGATATACAAACTTCAAATCTACGTAAAATGGCTACGTAGCCGAGTAGAGAAGAAGAACCGACGGCATCACAAAGAATCACGGGCTTCCTGTCTTTTTGGGAGTCAAAATGAGGGCGAGAGAGGGGAGGCCAAGATGACCGTTACAAAGGAATCCCAATTAAGGAGGGGAAAAGAGTTGCCTGGGGAGGAGGCTAGTTGGCTAGTTGCATTTCACAAAACTTTTAATTAAACTTTGCCGGTTTGTTTACGGCCCCGGTAAACAAAGCCACCTAAATACAGCTCCCACCGATTTTCTCGACGGTTGATTTGGCGCGCTTTTATTAATTTATGTGACGTCACCTAAATAGTTATTTAGTCACTAACGTTTTCACAGTTTCATTAAAAGCATTCTACACCAACCTTTGTGACCTAAACCAATGCCCTAATATATGATGAATGTTTTGGAATAACAAATAGGGCTCGCATCTCAAAGAATTACTCTAAAAGCTACAGTAACTCCCGGGTAACTGTACTATAATATGGTTGTTTACAGTAGTTCGTAATGTGGTATTTCGTAGAGATCGGAGGGCAATCTGTAGATTGACGCCAAACTTCTGACATGATTGAAAAAAAGAAAATCAAAACTAAAAACAAACTGGATTTTGCACTTCCTGAGACAACCGCAACAGCTCATTTTTTGGGCTGTGAAATTAATGCTTTTCAAGCACAAACTCGACATTTTTGAAAAGCTCCATCCTCCTTATATTGCATCTAAGGATTTTTATTCGGAATAATTCTCTACAGGTGAAAAAATAGCCCCCCCTTTGACATCCACTTCGGTAAACTCACATTTCTCGAATGCACGGCCCAAGTGCACCCTGGG